ATTCCTTTCTAGCAAGCCTATTAATGTCCGATGGCCCATTGACTTGAAAAAATATTCTATACATATGAAATTGACAGTGGGCGGGGGTACCCGACACTCCCCTAAGTTAAATAGTTGTAAAGCTAAGTTGAAAATTTTTGAAGGTGTTCATCGATGACTTTGTTTTTTTAAAAAAGTTCATTACAAATTAGCTATAAGAAAGTAACACACATTCCTCAGATGAAAAAACAAAGACATTGAAAAGAATATTGGCATGAGTTCTGCCTCTCCACGCGTGTCATTTGTGGTGCATGCTGACCACCTGTGGGTTTAGTCATCTAAATTTTTTTTCTTGACCGTTGAAAAATAAGTGGGAAGCTTTTTCTGATTTCCGACCAAATAACAAGTTTGAATTTAAGCTCAAAATTTTAGTCAAATTTTGGAACTCGTTTGCCCAAAACAGTATTTTCGTCAGCCCATCCACCCAGAAAGAAGTTACGTCTAAAAAGGTTTTAGCCAATTTCTTTGAAAAAAATAATCGAATTTTGCCTTCAAACGTTAACCTATTGTAGGACGTCGTAAACCCTTCTAAACTTATATTTTAACCTTTCTCCCATATGTGAATTTTGACTTCTTAATTTGTGTTTCAGCTTAAAGCTTTATGAATGAATGTGGAACTTTGATGTTGAAAAATTGACCCTTATTAATTGCCTCTTTAGTTATCAGCTTGTTCGTTTCCATCGTTGTTATTATGTGCTTTACTCCATGAGATTCCATGAGATGAAATTCATCAATAACTCTTTGTTAAATATAAAAATTGTTCTTAAATTTAAATATATATTTTGTAATTTTTTCGCGTACCTCCCAAAGAATGCTTTAGTCAAAAGAAATTATACGCAGCATAAAATGCATTCTATATTGCAAAGTTAGTAGTTACCTTGATATCCAAAATATTCTACTAAGTTACCAAAGTCAAAATTTTTGATAGTTTTCCATTTGTGGACCAACTTAATCTTGATGGTAACCATCAATAATTCCACTATAAAACCATTATAATTTTGATGGTAACCAAAATAAATAACCATCACCCCAAAGTATGAATTCGAATGATTTATTATGGTTCAACATAAGAATAGCAACTTGTTTTGATGGTTTTTTCACGTTAAACCATAAAAAATTTCCACCCTAGTTTCTTAGAAATCAAGTGTAGGAATGATCATAAGCAACCATCATCCCAAAGTAGGAATTCGAACCTATTTATGATGGTCCAACATTAAAAAAATACTAAAATGTTTTGATGGTATATTTCTGAGAACCAACAAACCATCATGGAAATGTATAGATAGGAACCATCGTTGATTGTTGATCCATGAGAATCAAACTTCTCTAGATGGTTAACCGTTACAGTATTAAAGCAGCAATTTCCATCATGGAATAATGGAAGTTTGTTGGCATATCGAAAACCATGAACGTATAATGGAAAATGTTGTATGATGTTGACCATCAAATGATGTTGGACCATCATTAATCTCATTGAAACCAACAAAAACCATCAAAATGTTTTGATGGGACCGTCTAGACTTTTGACTTGGGTAGACTGTCGTGATTTTTCTGACTTTCGGCTTTTTGCCCAGTTATTCCCGAATATTTATTCCCGTGCTAAAAGCACGTTCAGAAGACCACCGTTTTCTACTCAAGTAAGCAAGGATTTTAAAATAATCTACTCAAATCGGAGAATAGGGAAAAATAGATTTTCAAGCCAGCATCTTTTTATTTTAATTAATAATGAAAATTTGATACACCATCTGACTTTAATGGGGATCATTTCAAGTTCATATTATTATTTATTATTTTCAGTCAATCCAGCGACAAATCATAAAGATTGAATTTCGTAGTTTCACAACTATCGTTTCTTATAATGATTGGTTACTATCAATACAGTAATCATAGAACCACGATGCCTCAGGGTATAAAGCGTTCTCTTTCTATTGAAGTGAACCGGGTTCGAATCCCAGCGAGCACAGGTTGATACGAATTCCGCATACGGCGTTTACCGACCACAGTGCTGACGTAAAATATCCTCAGTGGTAGACGAATCATGGGTTAGAGTCCCTTGGCCGTCGGGATAACCATTGGAGGTCGTTCATGTATTTCTCTCCATGTAACGCAAATGCGGGTTAGTTCCTTTAAAAAGTGCTCGACGAAGGAAAATTCTTCCCAATACTTGATCCAGGAGTTTCCTTGTCTTCTGGATTAGGTTCAAAATCACAAGGCTACGGAGTTGAACATTAGCAGTAGTAAATCCAAAAAAAAATGGGTCGACTGTTCAACGATGGTTTTAAAATAAAGTAAAATACAACAATTATATCATGGAATTTTTGAATGGCGAATTGGGGGATCATTTCGCAATTTACAATTTTTTTTTCGTTTCTTTTTTTTTCTTTAACATTGTTGAAATCCTACTTTAATATTATTTGACTGGGACATTCTTGAACTGTAGTTAAAATCTTAACCAAATGAGATTGCTATTACGAAAGAATACTGACTAACTGATGCTGTTTATTATTTTTATGCTGCATTACTATAAAAGTTACTATATATTGATATTAATCTACTAGGAATCAATTAATGTTCTATTAATGAAATTGTGCTAAAAAATTTAAAGACTTTATGTTCTAAATAAAATAATTATGAAATGAACAATAGTATATTATAGTATTTTATAAGGATCGCAATTTCTAGATTGCAACTACCTCTCCCCCCCCCCCAGATTTTAAGAGTAAAAAATACATGTATCTAAAAAAAGTCCATGTTTATTCCGAGAAAGTACGTTTTTGTATTTGATTATTGGTAGTTAATACTAATTAATTAGCATATTTGTTGTCACCCATTAAGTTGGAACTCATAGTGGGTGACTTCATCTGATGGAGCTGTTAAGGTGAATTACCGAAATCGGTGGTTGTTTACTTTCACCGGTGAATGTTGACAATCACATAGTCGCTTTGGTGAATGTCCGAAATATTTATTACACTCGATTTGATATGAATTTATTCGTGGATATAATTACATTTATTCGATATTTTAACCCTACACTGATGTTTTTTTAAGGTGAAGTACCACTGCGCGGTATACATTTGCCCGGTATACCCTACACTGATGTGTTTTTAAGGCCAAGTGCCACTGCCCGGTATACACTACACTGATGTTTTTTTAAGGATAAGTGTCACTGCCCGGTATACATTTGCCCTGTATACCCTACACTGATGTTTTTTTTTAAGGTTCAGTGCCACTGCCCGGTATATATTTGCCCGATACTCCAAACACTGATGTTTCTTCTAATCTATCGTCAGTAAGTATTAAAATATAGAATAAATATAAATATATCAAATAAATATAATAATATCAACGAATAAATTAATATAAAATTGGATATAACAAATATTTCGGACATTCACCAAAGCGACTATGTGATTGTTGACATTCACCGGTGAGAGTCGCCATTCTCCAGATTTCGGTCATTCACCGTAACAGAGCCATTAAAATTGCACTTTTTTTGTGAAAATCAAATCATTCGAACAAAAATTATTAAGGGTGATATCCTTTTCCACTGAACTGTTTAAATTTTTCATATGTAATTGTGGACAAAATGCTATTTATTGTAACGTATTAATACATAATTTTTGTATCTAGTTAGAACTAAAAATAGTTTCTGAAAACACAGAAAATCTCTAGTGCATGGATGAGATTTTTCCGCTTTTTAGCGGATTTCCGCTATTTTCACTTTTATCTCTTAAATTTCAGCTTTTTTATCAAAAATTCAGATTTTCTAAAAATTTCATTTTTTTTATAAGTATTCCGCTTTTTCAGAAAATTTACCGATTTTCAAAGAGAAACAGAAAATTGAAACTACATAGCTACCAATCCTTTCTCATTTTTACTTATTTTACCTATTATCTCCCCTTTTACGCGCAGCAGATAAGATTTTTCGAATTTTTTACCCGCACTCCAGATAGATCCGATTTTCGTAGTTCAGACGACGCAATTTTAAGATCAACTATCGCAATTCTTGTAAGAAGTAATTTTTTTTAATTAGTTACTATAAAGGTGACTGTTTTTCTAACGACGATTATTAGTATATGTAAGTGTTACAACATCAGAGAAACTGGAAGGGAATATATTCAAAACNCGATACTCCAAACACTGATGTTTCTTCTAATCTATCGTCAGTAAGTATTAAAATATAGAATAAATATAAATATATCAAATAAATATAATAATATCAACGAATAAATTAATATAAAATTGGATATAACAAATATTTCGGACATTCACCAAAGCGACTATGTGATTGTTGACATTCACCGGTGAGAGTCGACATTCTCCAGATTTCGGTCATTCACCTTAACAGAGCCATTAAAGTTGCACTTTTTTTTTGAAAATCAAATCATTCGAACGAAAATTATTAAGGGTGATATCTTTTTCCACTGAACTGTTTAAATTTTTCATATGTAATTGTGGACAAAATGCTATTTATTGTAACGTATTAATACATAATTTTGTATCTAGTTAGAACTAAAAATATTTTCTGAAAACACAGAAATTATCTAGTGACAGGAGGATATGTTTATAATGTACAGAAAAAATATGATAGCCCTCTTGTTTTAATTCTTAGTACCCATTTAGTTTTAAAAAAAATACAATAATAACTTTTGATTAGTGATCAGAAGTAGCTAAACTATTTTTTATTACTGTAGTTTGTAGCGATTCCTGGCAACTATTTTTAATGTTAGTTCTAATGGCTACTTGAAAGGCTACCTATTTGATAGGCAAGACCATGATACGAGGCTCTTCCAGAAAGTAAGTTCCCCTATTTTTTTAAAAAAACGAACTCATACTTTAAGAAACATATTTATTGGCAACAACTACAGCAATGTTTTAGCTATTTTTCAACATAGCGACCACCGGAAATGAGACACTTGTCGTATCGTGGGATAAATTTTTGCATCCCACTGTCATAGAACTCTGCCGCCTGTGAATGGAACCAGCGTGTGACAGACATCTTCGGCTCTTCGTCGTTGCCAAAACGCTCACCGGAAGAGAGGAATTTCTTGAGGTGCAAGAAAACATGAAAATCGCTGGGAGCAAGATCAGGGCTGTAGGATGGATGATCAAACAACTTCGAGCCAAATTTCGTCAAACCAGCTGCTGTGCGTCGAGCCATATGTGGACGAGCATTGTCATGGAGGAGCACAACACCTGCATTAAGCATTCCACGCCTTTTGTTTCGAATGACACGTCGCAATTTTCGCAGTGTTTCACAGTAACGGTCAGAGTTTACTGTTTCACAACGTGGTTCCATTTACAGGCGGCAGAGTTCTACGACAGAGGGATACAAAAGTTGATCCCACGATACGACAAGTGTCTCAATTCTGGTGGTGGCTATGTTAAAAAATAGCTGAAACATTGCTGTAGTTTTTGCCAATAAATATGTTCCTGAAAGTATGAGTTCTTTTTTTTAAAAAAAATAGGGAAACTTACTTTCTGGATGAGCCTCGTAGTTTCCAATTTGTTTTCAATGTTTAAAAAAATGAATACTTGATTCTTAAAATATTTTTGCTATGAAAAATAATAAAGGGAATGAAATTAATGTATTTTAAAGTAATATATTTGATATTGTATTAAAAGTTTGTGCATATTTGTAGGTGTTAGAAGAAGTCCGATGAGTTACTGTTAATTGTATGATTGTGTGGCAACAATGTCAGCAGTGCCAAGAACTCCTTTTTTTTACCTGAGATCTTTCGGTAAGTCTTCTCAACTCTCAGATATTTTGATAACAAAGGCCTAAAAGTATTCCAATATTTACTATTTCAAAACTCATTACTTACCATATTTGTTAGTGTAGAGCAGTGTTTCCCAAACTTATAACTTTTGGTACCCCTACTAAATTTTTCGTAACGCTGTGTACCACTGATAAAAAAATGAATATATTTTTTAGTATAAAAAAAATTGCACAAAAGTTAAAAATCACAACTAGCTGTTGAAACCACTCAACCACTATATATTAACTGTTAGCCAACCAGTGGCCGAGTGTTTAGCACGTCTGACTGCGGAGCCGTTGGTTGCGGGTTCGAATCCTGCTCAGAGCCTGGATGTCTCTTTCTCTCTTTCTGTGTTCCATGTCCTTTCTCCTTTGTGTGTGATTGTGGCCCACCCTATAAACGGGTTTGTGGTTGTGTGACGTGGGCGACGCTGCTCCACCGTATAGCAGGCATCTGTGACTTCACAAATCTTTTGGTAAGTCTTCTTAACTCTGAGATATTTTGATAAAAAAGCACGCAAATATTGTAATATTCAGCATTTTAAAACTCGGAAGTTCCCATAATTATTGGCGTAAAAAATTATATTGAAAAATTATCTTTTAGATGAATTGATTCGATATTAAAGCTAATTAAGTGCAATGTTATATTTAAGATCAGAGGCCAGAAAAACTATATTATTTTTGTAATTTATTAAAGCTGCAACTACTTGGTTGCAAATGTAGTTAACCACAACTACTTATTTTTTAAATGTAGTGAAAAGTTCGCAAGTGTGAGTTTGTTTTACCAAGACTTTTTTTTTTGGCTACGAGTTATACCTTTCAATTTGGTCCCTTTCTGTGATTTTTTTTTCCTTTTAGTTTCTCGCTGGCCACTGCCCGGAAGTTTCCAAGACTTAGTGATTATTCTGCCACAGATCACAATACGCAAATCTCCCCGATATTTCTACTTTTAAAATTTTCAGTACTCTTTAGTTGTTTTATGAGAACTCAATAATAATTAAAGGCAATATTATACACTTACACACTAAGTTTCAGTTTTTGAAGTGAAACTTCTAATGTGACTTCCAACAAGGTGGCGTTTAACGTTACCGTTGTCATGGAAACTAGATTTCTCTTTACGTCCGTTGAGCGCACGAGGTAAGAGAAAAACATAGTAGGTAATATTGGCGTTAAAGAAAACAAAGAGATATTTTTTTTTAAGAATACCTTACTGAAATTTAGAAATAAGCTGATTTCTTATTATAATTTTTTTTTAAAATATATTTTATTATTATTATTTTTTAACTAAGCGAAAAATTTTTTAAATGAAACAAAGTATTGTATTTAAAAAGTTAATAGGTATATTTTCTTATTAAATACAATTAAAAAAATACTTTGATGCACATAGATACTCTGCTTTAGATATTTATTTTTCTATGTTTTTCTTTTATTTTTGCCGGTTTTTATTTTATAAGTGAAATTTCTAATGCGACTTCCAACAAGGTTGCGTTAAACGTTTAACGCTACCATGGAGGGGGTATCAAAGCACTGTTGCGTTAAACGTTCAACGCTCCTGGGGAGGGGGAATAGAAAGAGACAGAGCGAGAGAGAATGCGTGGCACTCGAACGCATGCGCGTGGAAAACGATAATTAAAAGATGCGATCAATTGTGAATTGTAAGCAATGTTAATAAAGTTTGTCTTAAAGAAACAATATGATTTCACTAAAAATCAATTTCTACCCCTTCCTATTTTCATTTCCCCATTACGAAGTTTCACTTCTTCCGCGCGGAGGGACTCCACGCACTATTTTTTCTAGTGTTAAAGAAGTACTGAACCAAATAACAAATAATAAGAATAAACATTTTAGGGACCATACACTAACTTACATTTGTAATATGAATATATTGGAGTTTTCTTAGTTTGCTTAATTTTTTTACATATGTTTGTAAATTCGGCATGATCAATAATAGTAATCTTGTTAATGCTCTGTTGAGTATGCATTTATAAATAACTTTTATTTAAATCTGAAAAATACTCTCGATAACCTTTTTAAGTAATAACTAAATTATAGTTTTGAATTAATTTTTTTGCATAGTTAAATAAAGTAATTATTAATTTAAAAAATAGATTGAGAGATTCAATGGTGAATATACACTGGTGGACAAAATTAAGAGATGGATGACATTTTACCAAATATCTGAAAAAATACTGAATATAAATAAATGAAATTCGGTATGGATATAGCTCATTCCGTGATAATAAAGTATGCAAAACAAAAATGAAAGTGTCATTCACTGGCAAGACCTATTGTCAATAAATTCAATGTAGTCTGAACTTAAGGATAAAAAATGACAATAAAAGTGAGGCTTGTACAGTGTGTGTTACCTCTAGTATGGTGTATGGTCACCCCTGACANTTTTTTTTCTTGACCGTTGAAAAATAAGTGGGAAGCTTTTTCTGATTTCCGACCAAATAACAAGTTTGAATTTAAGCTCAAAATTTTAGTCAAATTTTGGAACTCGTTTGCCCAAAACAGTATTTTCGTCAGCCCATCCACCCAGAAAGAAGTTACGTCTAAAAAGGTTTTAGCCAATTTCTTTGAAAAAAATAATCGAATTTTGCCTTCAAACGTTAACCTATTGTAGGACGTCGTAAACCCTTCTAAACTTATATTTTAACCTTTCTCCCATATGTGAATTTTGACTTCTTAATTTGTGTTTCAGCTTAAAGCTTTATGAATGAATGTGGAACTTTGATGTTGAAAAATTGACCCTTATTAATTGCCTCTTTAGTTATCAGCTTGTTCGTTTCCATCGTTGTTATTATGTGCTTTACTCCATGAGATTCCATGAGATGAAATTCATCAATAACTCTTTGTTAAATATAAAAATTGTTCTTAAATTTAAATATATATTTTGTAATTTTTTCGCGTACCTCCCAAAGAATGCTTTAGTCAAAAGAAATTATACGCAGCATAAAATGCATTCTATATTGCAAAGTTAGTAGTTACCTTGATATCCAAAATATTCTGCTAAGTTACCAAAGTCAAAATTTTTGATAGTTTTCCATTTGTGGACCAACTTAATCTTGATGGTAACCATCAATAATTCCACTATAAAACCATTATAATTTTGATGGTAACCAAAATAAATAACCATCACCCCAAAGTATGAATTCGAATGATTTATTATGGTTCAACATAAGAATAGCAACTTGTTTTGATGGTTTTTTCACGTTAAACCATAAAAAATTTCCACCCTAGTTTCTTAGAAATCAAGTGTAGGAATGATCATAAGCAACCATCATCCCAAAGTAGGAATTCGAACCTATTTATGATGGTCCAACATTAAAAAAATACTAAAATGTTTTGATGGTATATTTCTGAGAACCAACAAACCATCATGGAAATGTATAGATAGGAACCATCGTTGATTGTTGATCCATGAGAATCAAACTTCTCTAGATGGTTAACCGTTACAGTATTAAAGCAGCAATTTCCATCATGGAATAATGGAAGTTTGTTGGCATATCGAAAACCATGAACGTATAATGGAAAATGTTGTATGATGTTGACCATCAAATGATGTTGGACCATCATTAATCTCATTGAAACCAACAAAAACCATCAAAATGTTTTGATGGGACCGTCTAGACTTTTGACTTGGGTAGACTGTCGTGATTTTTCTGACTTTCGGCTTTTTGCCCAGTTATTCCCGAATATTTATTCCCGTGCTAAAAGCACGTTCAGAAGACCACCGTTTTCTACTCAAGTAAGCAAGGATTTTAAAATAATCTACTCAAATCGGAGAATAGGGAAAAATAGATTTTCAAGCCAGCATCTTTTTATTTTAATTAATAATGAAAATTTGATACACCATCTGACTTTAATGGGGATCATTTCAAGTTCATATTATTATTTATTATTTTCAGTCAATCCAGCGACAAATCATAAAGATTGAATTTCGTAGTTTCACAACTATCGTTTCTTATAATGATTGGTTACTATCAATACAGTAATCATAGAACCACGATGCCTCAGGGTATAAAGCGTTCTCTTTCTATTGAAGTGAACCGGGTTCGAATCCCAGCGAGGCCAGGTTGATACGAATTCCGCATACGGCGTTCACCGACCACAGTGCTGACGTAAAATATCCTCAGTGGTAGACGAATCATGGGTTAGAGTCCCTTGGCCGTCGGGATAACCATTGGAGGTCTTTCATGTATTTCTCTACATGTAACGCAAATGCGGGTTAGTTCCTTCAAAAAGCCCTCCTCGAAGGAAAATTCCTCCCAATGCTTGATCCAGGAGTTTCCTTGTCTTCTAGATTAGGTTCAAAATCACAAGGCTACGGAGTTGAACATTAGTAGTAGTAAATCCAAAAAATTGGGTCGACTGTTCAACGATGGTCTTAAAATAGAGTAAAATACAACAATCATATCATGGAATTTTTGAATGGCGAATTGGGGGATCATTTTGCAATTTACAATTCTTTCTTTTCGTTTCATTTTTTTCTTTAGCATTGTTGAAATCCTACTTTAATATTATTTGACTGAGACATT